CTTATCCAATTCTTCTCTTGGAAGACTATATTGATAAGTTTGGCAGTGCTGGATTCTAACAAACAGGAGTGTTGGCAGGATCCTTTCACACCCCAATCTAAAGAGATATCAGTCCTTTCTAATGCAGAGTAATGATACTTGGGTTAAATGTGCCCCACCTACTTTCTGGAAATTGATGGATCAATTGGTAGCCAGTGTTCCTAATTGTATAGTTTATCTTGGCGATGTATCAGGATACAGCGACACTTGGAAATACCATTTAAAGCAATTAGAAGCTTTCTTTAGAAAGTTAAAAATGACTGATCTGGCAATAAAGTTTGCCAAAAGTTTATATATTAGTAGTAATATACCTAAGGTAGACTGTAAGACAAGTCCTGTCAAAAACCACTAAGTACAAACTTTAGTGGAACCCTAAAACTAAATGAGGAATAATGAGATTTTGAGGATGCATGACTTCCACCATAATTTTAAAGCATTAATTTTAAAGATTTACTATAAAAGAGTTCCAAGGTAGTATGGTCATGGGAGTGCCATGCAGCTTTTGAGAATCTGAAAGCCATTTTGATCAGATGACCAAATTAGAAGCAGGAGTAGGCACTTCAGCCCTTTGAGCTTGCTCCAGCATTGAATATGATAATGGTTCACCTCATTTTCCTAATTCCACATTTCCACCTGTGAACTTATCCAGATAACCTTATACCCCCTTGTTAAACAAATATCCAATTTCTTCTGCCTTAGTAATATTTAAGGACTCTGCCTCCATCATTTTTTCAAGACAAGTGTTCCAAACACTTTCTGAAAGAAAACATTTTTCACCATCTCTGTTTTAAATTGGCAACTCCTGATTTTTAAACAGTGATCCCTTGCTCTAAATTCTCCCATTAGAGGAAACATTCTTTCCGCATCTGTCCTGTTAAGATCCCTCAAGATTTTATATGTTTCAATCATGTCACCTTCAACTTGTCTAAACTCCAACCAATACAGTTAGCCAATCCAACCTTTCGTCATAAGACAATCTCCTCATTCCAAGTACTTGTCTCATAAACCTTCTCTGAAGTGCCTCCAATGCAAATAAGGTGGTCAGTTCTGTGCACAGTTTTCCAGAAGTGGCCTCAACAGTGATCTGATTAACTGAAGCAAAATCTCCTCACTTTTACCTTTGACTCCCCTCGTGGTAAATGATAAGATTCTATTTGCTTTCCTAATTAACTGCACCTGCATGCTAACCTTTTGCGATTCATGCACAAAGACAACCAGATCCTTCTGCACCTTAGGGCTCTGTAATTCACTCAACTTCAGATAATATACATCTTTTTTATTTTCATGTCAAAATAGATAATTTTGTGTCTTACATAAAATACTCCATTTGCCATCTTACGTAACCTATCTTTATATTTTTGTAGCATCCTTATGTCTCCACAACTTACCTTCCTATTTACCTTTGTGTCATCAGCAAGTGTGGCAGCCATCTATCTCTTTTATATAAATTTTAAGCAATTGAGTTCCCAGCACCAAACCGTCTGGCACACCACTTGTTACGTTGTGACAACCATGTCATTATGCTGCCCACTACACCATGAACTCTTATTTTCTTATATAAAACTTTGATATGCCACCTTAGCAAATGCCTTCTAAAAATATAAGTACAGTACATCCACCAGTTTCCCTTTATCCACAACATGTGTTACTTCCTTAAGGACCTCCAATAGTTTTTCCCTTTCACAAAATCAGTTTGATGCTGCCTGATCACCTTGAACTTATACAATACCCTGCTATAAATTATTTAATAATAATTTCTAACATATAACGGATGTTAATGGCCTGTTGTTTCCTACTTCCTGTCTCCTTCTTTGTTTGAATAAAGGACTCCATTCACTACATTCTAATCCAATGGGACCATCCCAAAATTAAATGAATTTTGAAAAATGAAAAGCAACGCCACAACTATCTGTCTCTCCAGTATGATATAGAATGTGTGATTTATATATATTTCTAATATTATATATTTTTGAATTTGGCCTTTTTATGTTTTGAACTTGTGGCATATCGGTTTTCGATTTGTCTAAAGGTGTTTAATGATTAACTATTAAGTATTTCTGTAGCCATGTAGTTTACAGTCTGAGAGATAGCTTTGGAATTAATGGAAAATTTCTTTATACTGAGCGAGTTTATGAGTGAACAAATTAAACAGTGCGTTTATTTTTCAGATGGAAGATTCTGAGATCGATTTCGTGAGCTTAAAGGAAACACCCATAGCTTCAAAAGAAATGTTTCTGTTTCAGTTTGGGGCAGTTCTGCTCAGATCTTGACTGAAGCTAGATGTCAAGATAGTTTAGAATTATTAAAAGTAGGTTACCTCAGTACAAGGAGACTAGTAAATGTTCAAAACCATAAGTGTTTGTAAAATGCAGAAAGGTTTATTTGAGGCTGAGAAAGTTTAAGCTGAAACAAAAACAGTGCTGGTGAAACACGACAGTCCGGCAACGTTCATAGAGAGAAAACAGAGTTAATGTTTTGTGTCCAGTGACCCTTCATCAGGACTGAAAATAGCTGCGAAAGGGCGGTAACAATGCTGATGAGAGGAGTTGGGGGGGTGGTGGAGCATAAAAGTGAATATTGTACATGGAGATGGGGCCCAGAGAGAGGGAGGGGGAGAAAATAACAGGATAGGCAAACAAAGAGATACCTGATGATAAGCTGAGGAAGAGCTAAGCACAAATGAGAAGTGTGATTAGTTGGACAAAAGAACAGGAGTAGGCCATTCAGTCCCTCAAGACTGCTCCACCAGTGAGACCATGGCAGATCTGTCGCTGGACTCCATATACCTGCCTTTGTCCCATATCTCTTTATACCTTTACTAAACAAAAATGCGTCTATAACAGATTTATAATATCTAGAATCCACGACCATGAAAATGGGTTGGCTGTGCAGGGAGGAACCCATACAATGCACGACCTAGCAGTTTTGGGGAGACTAACCGACATGGAGGAGGGTGATTACATTCTGAGATTGTTAAACTCAATGTTGAGTCTTGAAGACTGCATGGTGCTAACTGGAAGATGAAGTGTTGTTCCTCCAGTTTGTGTTGAGCCTCACTGGAGCACTGCAGCATAAATGTTGAAAGGGGAACATGGTGGTGTGTTGAAATGGCAGGTAACTGGAACCTTGGGATCATTTTAACACATGGAACATAGGGAAAGCAGTCACCCAGTCTCTGTTTCATTACTTTTACTGCACCCTGCTTGCTATAAGGATTCCATCTAATTTTCCCAGTTTCTCCATTTCTGTCACATCTGTTATGAAGATGCCACCTTCCGTAGGGAGGGCCTCAGAAATGTCCACTTCTTTCCTCAACCAAGGATTCCCTGCCACCGTAGTTGACAGGGCCCTCAGCCATGTCTGACTCATTTCCCACAATTCTACCCTCACCCCTTCCCAGGTAGAGGAGACCACGTTGTGAACAACAAATACCGTAGCCTAGATTGAACAAAGTGCAGGAAAATCACTGCTTCACTGGAAGGTGTGTCTGGGGCCTGACAAATTGAGGAGGGAGAAGGTAAACAGGTAAGGATTACACCTTCTGTGATAGCATGTGAAGGTGTCAGGAGTGAGGACGGTGGATGACAAGTTGATCAGCGTGTCCCAGAAGAACAGTCCCTGTGAAAGACTGACAAGGAAGGGGAGGAATATGTGTGTCTGGTGGCAGCATCCTGCTGGAGGTGGCAGAAATGGCAGCTTATGATCCTTTGGAAAGGTTGGAAAGTGAGGACCGGGGGACCTTGTCATTGTGTAGGAGGGAAGGGGTGAGGGTAGAATTATGGCGAATGAGTCAGACACAGCTGGGTGCCCAGTCAACTATGGTGGCGGGGAATCCTTGGTCGAGGAAAAAGGTGGACATTTCTGAGGCCATCCCTACGGAAGGTGGCATGTTCAGAACAGATGTGACGGAGATGGAGAAACTGGGAAAATGGGATGGAATCGTTACAGCATGCAGGGTGAAAAGATGTGCAGTAAAGACCAGACGAGGTAGGTGGTGGATAGGAACGTTTCAGGACCTCTATCAAGGAAAATGTGGAGCCCCATCAGATCATCTTGATGGGGAATGGACGTGTAAAAGGGTTGCATGTCCATGGTGAAAAGGATGGCTGGTGCTGGCAAATTAGAAATTTTGAAACAGATATGGAGCATCAGAAGAATTTTGAATATAAATGAGAAGAGGACTGGACAAGGGAGGAAAGAAGTCGAATCAAGATACCAAGAAACAAGTTCTGTGAAGTAGGAACAAGCAGAAACAATCAGCATGTCCAGGCATTCCTGTTAGTGGATTTTGGGAAGAATTCAGTAGCAGGCTGTATCGGGTTGTGGGACTATGAGGTTGGAAGCTCATGGGAAGCTTCCCTGTTGAGGGGAAATCCCCAGATGAGATGAGGTTGGTGACGGTTGTATAGACAATAGCTTGATGTTTGATAGTTGGGTCATAGTCCAGGGGCAGAAAGAAGAAAGTATCCGGGAGCTGGCGTTCAGCGTCCACAATGTAGAGATCAGTACATGAACACCCTCCTTGTCGGCAGGTTGAATTACAAAGTCAGGGTTGGATTGAGAGCACAGAGTGTAATCAGCCAGAGGAAGATCGGTTTGAATACGTGAAAGAGCCAAATACATCAGGGTGGTCGATGTCACGTTGACGATTCTCGATGGTAAAAGGTTAGACAGAGGGTTTCAGGTGGAGGGAGAGAGTTGGAGGCTGGTGAAGCGGGTGTTGGAACCCCCCTCCCTCACGGTCCCACAGCCCGATGCTGCATTCTTCCCAGCATCCACAAACAGGACTGCTGGGACAGAGCCACTGTTTCTAGCTGTTCCAGCGCGGGGCCGGCCGGGAGGGGTGGTTGAGTCCATGTCCATGTCGGGGTCGGATCAGGGTAAGGGAGGGAGAGTGAGGGTTAAAGAGGATGAAGGTTCCAGGGGGCGGGAAACGTTCCGGGAGGGACTTCCGGGTTTCGGCGGAAGCGTCGCCAGAAGGGCGGGGTTCGCATGCGCAGAGTGGAGGTGGTGCCGTTGGTGAGGGAGAGGGGTTGCGCACTTTGTGTCACCAGGACACCATGGGCTGTGATGGAGGTACCATCCCCAAGCGACATGAGCTGGTGAAAGGGCCCAAGAAGGTGGAGCAGGTGAGAAACGATGTCGTCCCGTGCCGCCCAGCCGCGACCTGCCGGTTTCTACCAGCCGGATGGTGCGGCCTCGGCTGCTCAGGCTTTCCGCGCTGTTTACTGGTCGCTCCAGTGCCTGGTGCTAGGCCTGACAAGTTGGGACAGAGTTCATATTGTCTGTCTCCTTAGCCAGTGGTGAGTGCTGACCACGGTGAAGCCAGGCTACACAGGGAGAGGGAAATGAACAACAGACATCATGTTCACGCTGAGGAATACTCCCCAAGGTCCGCTGCTGGCATAGATTTTTTTTTTAACATAAAAACAATTGTGATTTGTTTTTAGTATTAGTGTACGTTCTGAGTCTGAATGACAATAATAATGAGCTTAGTGCTGCTCGTTTTATACTTTACTGCTGGTTCATTACAATAAAGTAATGCTTTGTGTTACATTGTCACCTTATTGGTTAATCCATTGGAAAAATGGTGTGTACGTATAGCTCAACAGTCATATGTTGTTTTGTACCTGCTCTGTTGTAGCTAAGACGTAAGAGCCATGAAAACCATTCTAGGTTTCTTAAAAAAAAGTTGCCTTCATGGTAGACTAATTAGTAAAGTTTGATCACGTGGGATTCAGGGTCAGCTTGCCAGTTTGATACAAAATTGGCTTTATGGTGGGAAACAGTGTTAGTGGAGGGTTATTTTTGGACTGGAGGTCTGTGACTAGTGGTGTTGCACAGGGATTGGTACTGGGTCCACTTTGTTTGTCATTTATATAAATGATTTGGATGAGAATATGGGAGGAATGGTTAGTAAGTTTGCGGATGACACCAAAATTGGTGGTACGGTGGACAGTGAAGAAGGTTATCTAAGATTACAAAGAGATCTTGATCAATTAGGTTAATGGACTGAGGAATAGCAGATGGAGTTTAATTTGGATATATGTGAGGTATTGCATTTTTGTAAAACAAGGGCAAGTCTTAAAGAATTAATAGGGTTCTGGGTAGAGGTGTAGAACAGAGAGACCTAAGGGTTCAAGTACATAATTCTTTGAAATTTGCATCGCAGGTAGACAGGGTGGTTAGGGTGTTTGGCAAACTTGCCTACATCGCTCAGACCTTTCAGTGTAGGAGTTGGTATGTCATCTTGAAATTAGAAGATGTTGGTGAGGCCTTTTCTGGAGTACTGTTTGCAGTTCTGGTCACCCTGCTATAGCAAGGATATTATTACACTGGAGAGGGTTCAGAAAAGATTTACCAGGACATTGCTGGCAATGGTGGATTTGTGTTATAAAAATAGGCTGGGACCTTTTTCACTGGAGCGTAGGAGGTTGAGAGGGGTGACCTTATAGAGGTTTATAAAATCATGAAGGGTGTAGATAAGTTGAATACAAAAGATCTTTTCCCTGTGGTGGGGGTGGGGTTCAAAACTAGTGGGTATATTTTTAAGGTGAGAGGAGAAAGATTTTAGAAGGACATGAGGGCAATCTTTTTACACAGTGGTTAGTGTGTGGAATGAACTGCTAGAAGAAGTGATGGATGCAGGTACTATTAGAATACTTAAGATATTTGAATAATTCATGAATAGAAAAGGTTTGGAGGGATACGTGCAAGTGGGACTAGTTTAGTTTGGGAGCATGGTTGGCATGGACTACTTGGACTGAAGGGTCTCTGTTTCCATGCTGTATGACTCTGTGACCCTGTAGACTGCATAGACTGGTTATGATTTCCCAAAATTCCTTAGAATCTAGAAGCTTTCTAGCAGATTGGAATCTAACATTGTGTTCAAGAAAGGCAGAGAGGGAAAGCTGGGAAATACCGATCTTTTAGCCTGACATCATTTATTCAAAATTGGTTCTGAGAATCCTTACATGGCTGATGAGTCCATCTGTGGAGCAGCATCTCCGACCACACGTTTGGCGGGTGTTTCCAGGAGGTAAAAGTAGACTTCGGCCTTGATATTGTTGGTTTTCATTTCTGTGGTTCTTTTTTAGTATTTCTTGTTGGCATTGGGTGTTCTTAAAGAATTGTGTTGCTTCATAGAGGAGGTTCCTCCAAATCGGTATTTTTTCTGAATGGTTCTGTCCTGTGAAATTGGTGATGGCAGGGAAGCTCTGCTCCTCCAAGTTTGAAAATCTCTGCTGTAATCCCGTTCACTCCTGCAGCTTTTCCATTCTCTGCATGTCTAATGGAGGCTTCAACTTCTGCGCTAGGTGGGAGTCTGAGATCATCTTTGGAGAGTTGGGGTATTTCTTCAAAAACGCCCTTGTTGACAACAGTATCATGGTTTAGGAGTTCTTTGAAGCGTTCTTTCCATCAGCGGCTCTTGTTTTCTCTTTCTCAAAAGGGTGCTATCCTTACTGCGCACCTGTTTGAGGCCAAGGGTATTGGCTCCATATATTGCCTCAGTGCCACTAACGAAACCCCTGGTGTTGGGTTATTGGCAAAGAGTTGCAACTCCTTTGCTTTCCGAGTCCACAATAGGTTCTTGATTTCCCTAATTTTTCTTTGTAACTCCACCTTTGCTTGATGAGCTTTTTTTTTTTGCCTTGCTGGTGATGTTTCACCAAGCATTGAGAGCCTTCCTCTTTTTTTCATAAACCAGCTACATAAAGGAAAGCCAGTGGATGATTTTCAAAAGGCACCACAAAAAGATGATGCGATACTCTGGTAACAGCTTATAGAGATGACAGTAATATATCAATCAAGATATACGATTGGTAAATGGACAGGAAGTAGAGAGTAAGGATACAGGGAACATTTCAGGTTGGCAGTTTGTAACTAGAGGAATGGTACAAGGATCAGTTTTGGGACCTCAGCTAAATAATTAATGACTTGGATTAAGAGACTGAAAATGCATTTAATGATACAAAACTAGTTGGAATGTCAGATGAACATGGTATAATGAGACTGGAAAGAGAGAGGGAGAAATTTGAGTCAAGTGGCAGATGGAGTGCAATGAAAAATGTGAGGTAATTCAGTTTTGTATTAAAATAGAAAAGTATTGTTTTTATAAGGTATGATACTTCTAAATGTTGATGTCAAAGACTTCGATGAACATGGAAAACCAGCTTGCACTAACATTAAGTAGTCAGGAAGACAAATTGGCTTGATTATAGAAGACAGGATTGTTATGGAAGGATTTTTTTTGACTGGATGACAGTGATGCTGTACAAGGGTCAGTGTTAGGACCTTTGTAAGATATATAAACTATTTGAATGGAAATGTCTGCTTAGTAAGTTTGTGGATGACATGAAAATTGGAGGGGTTATGGAGGACGGGTGGTCAGAAGTTTCAGGTGAGGCAGTTTTGTTTTTACACAAAGGGTGGTAGATGCCTGGAATATGCTGCTATGGGAGGTAATAGATGCCTGGAAAGGGTTGCCAGTGGAGGTGGCAGAAGCAGATATAAGTGTTTAAGAGGCATTTATACAGACACATGTTGAGGCAAGGAATAGAGGGATATGGACCTTATGCAGACAGATTGGATTAGTTTAGAATGGCATTATGGTCGACACAAACATGGTGGGCTGCAGGGCCTGTTCCTGTGGAACTGCCTAATGGCTCATATTGCAAGGAAGATGGGAGTACAAAAGTAAAGAAATTGTGCAATTTTGTAGCAACTTGACAAGAATGTGCCTGCAGTAATGTGCACAATCTCCATATTTAATAAAACATATACAATTTGAGGCCATACAGTGAAGAATCATAGAATTCCTACAGTGTGGAAGCAGATCATTTGACCCATCCAGTCCACATCGACCCTTTAAAGATCATCCCACACCTCAATAAATACTGACTTTGCCAGTAGTGTTCTTGTTCAACAGTGAACAGTTATAGAAAAGTCACTCTATTTGCTATGTAGCTTGTGGTAAAAAGCGCTCTGGCAGTCGATTCCTTGACTCCTAATTATACTTTGAAAATCATCAAAGCATGAACATTCTTTGGAACACAGAACAATTTGATTTGAAGTAAAATATTCTTCTCATGGATGAATTGCTCTGTGAGTTTTAATTTTTAAAACATTTTTCCACCAAAAGATTTTGCTGGGGGTGCGAGGAAGTTATTTTTAATACTTTAACTTTTAGAGCTTTAAATCCAAACAATTATTCTCTTCCTTACAGATCTTTAGCCAAGTTTTCGAGAAGATTTGTAGCTCGGGTTGTGGATGTGGTTGTAGATGTGCTCACCAAGCTGGTGGGTTTGGACGCAAACATTTTGTCACCCTGCTAGGTAACATCGTCAGTGCACCTCTGGTGAAGCGTCGGTGTTCTGTCCTGCTTGTTATTTATATGCCTTGGTTTGCTGGGGTGGTTGGTATTACTTCCGGTTCACAACCTCTCAACCCACTTTACCTTCGGTATGTAGAAACAAATCAACGGAACACCGGTGGAATCCTCAATATCAGGATTAATTGCAGAAGCAGTAACGCAAAGGTTAGAACGGATAGCATTCCCCACTATACAACCCAAACTTTGTGTCTGACATGGAGACGACATCTTGTGATTATTAAAGGCACAAAACTAGAAGAAACCCACCAGCACACAAACAACAACCTTACTGGGATAAAATTCCAAAGCAGAAGAGATCAACAACCGACTACCCTTCCTGGACATAATGGTAGAATGCAAATACAACAGGGAACTCCAGACTAGCGTATATAGAAAGACCACATGTACGGACCAGATACTCAATTACACTAGCACCAATGCCCCACCCCAATGCCCACAAACGGAGCTGCATCAGGACATTATACCTCAGATCTTTAGCCAATTTGTTAACCTGTTTGACAATTGATAAGCACCACTCACCCATTGTGTTAAGGGGTCTTTGATTCTTTTCGGTTGTCAACAATGGTAATGTAGATACCAAGAGACGAGCAGCCAGTAAGGTGAAGCCAAAATAGTACGATTTCATTCTTGATTATGAGCCAAAGTTACTTTTAGTTTTGAATGAGGAAAGCAGACATTGTTTTTAAAAAGAGGGAGGCTTCAAGGGATTGTTTGAAAATTAGGAAAACGGTGAAGCTAATGTGTATGAGACTGTTATTTCATGGATGGAAGTATTTACTAATCAACCCGTTCTGAAATGTTCTTACTCACCTCTGGAACAGATGAGACATCAACCCAGGTCACCTTAATGAGAAGTAGACCCATAACCATTGTGCTACAAGAGCTCTAA